AATTCAGCAGCTGTGATCCTGCCTAATTCATATGCAGCCAATCACATCACTTCTGTGCTGGAGTCCTCGCACCAGCTTCCCGTGAGGCTTTCAGTTAATTTAAAAATCCTTCTTCTTTCTAGTAGGATCCACATCCTTTTTGCGGTTAAGGTTTTGATCTTAAAATCTGAATGACTGATTTTTGTAAACAAGCAAAAAATGGCTCTGTTGATACTGACATGCCATGTGGCCCCAACATTTGGCTACACCTTGTACCCTAAAGCTCTGGTGCACTATCCCAAAAAGATTTGAAACTATTCTGAAACCCTGCTTTTAAAGAAGCTTTTGTATGTTTATGTTTTGTGTTTGCCTTGCTTTCATTTGTAGCTTTGTAATTTTAATTTGTTTTGCAATAAGTGAGTATGATATATTATAAATCCCCATTACATTAATAGCTTTTACGGGCATAAATATATTTTTAGTTCTTATTATTAATCATTCTTACATCTGAAGTAGTGGATTTTAAGTATCCTGTCATTATTACGTTTAGAAAACTATTTTTAAGCACAGATTTTTTTGTAAATATTTGTTTTGACAGTCTAGGCATTAAGCATTTATCTACACATATTTGTGAATGTAAATTACTGAAATTTCCTTTTATGAATGAGAAACCAAAAATGTTCATTGAAACAGAAGTTTTTAAAATGATGAAATGACAGAGCATTCACCATTCTGGATGCATGTAGATTAAATTTAATATATAATAAAAAGCAAAAAAATGAATTGACTGTACATTTCACCATGCTTTCTAACAAAACAATGTTTGAAATGTACAGAGTAATAAAAGTCTCAGTAAATATGATCTGACACCATTTTAAGCTAAATTTCAGAAATGAGTATTAAAAAAACAGAAACTGCAACACGAGAATAATACTGAATAAATTCTGTCATACACTGTAGAAAATATATACATAATTTCCAGTTTAAAGGATAATTCTTGAACATGTACAATCCCAAGCTTAAATATACAATCAGAATATTAGCAGTTTAAAAATAACTTGTCATTTGAAACCTGCTTACATTGTTTTTAGCATCTCGTAATTTTTACACTTAAAAACTAATTTTTAACCTTAAACCTTTAAAAATATCTGTGTTAGTAGTCTAGGCATTGAACATTTATCTGTACATTTTTCTTAGTAAATGACTGAAAATGTACTTTTATGAGTGAGAAACCACAAATAGTTATTGGAATAGAAGTTTGTGATGATGCATTTAGTAGATAGCATTAAGCAGATAATAAAAAGAAAAAAATGAATTTACTGAAAATTTCATCATCCTTTTCTAACAAGCAGTGCTTTGTACAGAGGAAGAAAAAGATCAAAATAAACCTGACACCATGTTAAGCTGCATTTCTAAAAGAGGGTTGAGAAAACAGAAACTGCAACAAGACAACAATGTTGTATGAATTCTGTCACACAGAAAATAATTTGAAATATAAAAGGAATATATAAAATATCAGTCTTAAAGATGCAGATAAGACAGAAGATAGAACACTAGCACCTTTAAAACAATCTGTTGTTTCTAAACTACTAATATTGTATTTCAGTATCCCATCCTAATTACACTTAATAATTGATTGTTTAACCTTAAAACTTTAAAAAATAATTTGTGTTGAAACATAGTCTAGGCGTTCAGCATTTATCTATACATTTTTGAGAATGTTTCTTAGGGAATTCCTGAAAATCTGCTTTTATAAATGAGAATCCAAAAACATACAGTATGTTTATAATGTGCTGAAATGACAGAGCCCTCACCATTTAAGATGCATATACAGTAGACAGAATTTAGCAGATCATAAAAAGCAAAAAACTGAATTCACTGTACTGTCACTGTCAACATGCCTTCCTCACAAAGCAATGTTTGATATGTACAGTACAGAGACAATAAAGTCTCAGTAAATTAAAGAAGGCTAAGAAAACAGAAACTGGAACAAGAGAATAATATTGAATTAATTCTGTCACATTGAAAATAATACAACATTTAACTTTCCAGTTTAAAGGGAAATGCTTGAACAATATCAAATGTAAATATGCAAATAGAATATTAACAGTTCTGAAGCAACCTGCCAGAAAGACAACTGAACTAAAATACATTCACAAACTCTTTTGCAGTTTAAGGTTAGAAAAATAAGAAAAACTGTATATTTTAAGGTACAAGTCTCAGGTCACAGAAGAACCCGTTCTCTAAAGTACTTCTGAACATCTGAGAAGGAAAACGTTGGCAGGACGTGCTGTCTTTTGCCTCTCAACTTACCTTAGATAATATTTTCATTTTCTTTGACACAACCATTTATAACATCATCTCATACAAGAGCATAGTATTGCTCATAGAATTGTTTCAAGCTGTTGAATCTTTTTGTCTGTTTTTGCTCGTTAATTGCGTTTCTTGCATATCTAAATCAACGTGGCATTAAAAAAAAAACAATTTCCCCTCATTCTCCCTTAAGTCTATCTGAAAATCCAGAGACTAACAAGTTTTCAATCTCTATTTTAGACATTTGCTGTATTCATAGGATAGTAGTATCAATTGATAGAGCCTGCCTGGGTGCTGCACCATGTCTGTGACCGTGACTGTTTGTGACTGTTGACATTCTTTGTTATATTGGGGTACTCACATATTACACATTGGCTATGTGTGGCACCTTGGGTTTGTAGAAACGAGTGCAAATGTATCATTTTTTACTCTCAGAATTATAAATGTCTGCCATCTGCAGTGCAACAACACAGCAGCCTAGATTGTACAACTACTGTATTGCATTATGATATACCTTTTTTTCACATGCAGCCCCTATATATTGGAGTTAACTGCTATTGTTTCACCGGCCTCTTTTTATCAGTTTTTAAATAGTCTGCTTCTTAATCAGGTGAATGAATTAACTGAAAGGCAGCAGGAATCTTGTGTTTACTCAGGTAAACTCCAGTTCATTTACTGATTTTGTTACATCTAAATGGTCTCTGTGTGGATTTAAGTCTACAGTTTCTAGTATTACCGGTGCGTTGAAGTTTGAAACACCTTGTCAGAAGTGTAGCCCTGATTTTTCTTTCAGTAGGGTTTATTTTTATCTGAATGCCATGCTAGCAGCAAGGGAGATACTCCTTTGGTGTGGGAAGAAAATGTGTTCCACTGTTATTAGCACCATTTTCACAAAGAAACAAAGAAAGTGACAAGTACCTGTTAAATACTACGTGAATACCACAATGTCTTCAGGATATATTGAAAAGTTTTGGAATATCAGAGCAAAAAATGATGGTGGGGGGTGTTGTCATTTTAGAATCTCCAAACTTATACATATTTTGGATAAAATCTGGTGAAAAATAAAAAAGTAAAAATTTGAAACCAGTTAAATGTGATGGTTTTAGAGGGAACCAGGTCAGAGCAAGCGCTTTCAGCTTGGAGGGCTCCAGTCCTCCGTGTGGTACTGTAACTGTAGGAGCTGTTAGCTGAGGCTTGCTCTGGCCCAACAGCTCTGTGAGTCTGAACCTGGGGTTATCGCACATGTTGGCATCCAGTATGTGTTTATATCGACACGTCATCAATATCATGCAGGCAACGTGTGGAAGCAGCTAAAAAGGCAAAGTGTTTGACTTAAAATTAATTTCAACTAAGGGGTGTTATCATACAGCCTTAGTTAGAATACTGTGCTCGGTTTTGGCCTCTACAGTGCAGAAAATAAATTGCTGCTCTGGAATCACTCCACTGGATACTTTCTGGGGCTTATGGGATATGTCATTGGTAACCTCTCTTGTGTTCTTTTGACTTTGGTTTCGGGACTAAGATTCATCTCCTCACAGTCACACCTCACAGAGAGCAGCTGGCTAGAGCAAGGAAGGAGAAGGGGATGAGTCACCTAGAATCAGGCCTTCAAACCTCTCAGATCTTAACTCTCCCGTAAAATTGACTTTGGGTACCAAGAGAGAGACCCATTTCAACATACAAACCTTTGCCTAAATTGTAACCCTAAACACCAAGTAATTAGAGAAAAACCATTCGCAGTGAAGCTGAATTAACCTCCTCTCAGTGTGTGGTCGTTTGGAAGGCCCTTTCCTATACTGCTTCCTTTGAGGAACTGAAGGTAGAAAGTGTGAGAAAAGTGTGTGTCTTTCAATGGTTTACATAAACAAAACAATGCAGAAAGAAAAGGTGAAAAACTGTTGTTTAAAAAAAATATGCTATATGTAAAACCTGACCTGGATGTCTTTGCAACAGTGTACTGTACATCTTTGTGGCCCTCATTTCTATGGATAATCTTTTATTTCATTCTACAGTACATGATTAACCTCTTGTGTAGACTTACTGGAACGCTGCAATTCAAATAAAGAAAATGAAAAAGTTTTTTTAATGAATGGAAAATAATACAGATTTTCTCAAATAGATGATAGTTCACAGTCCTTGAGGAAATGTGAAGTATCCCTAAAGATACTGGTGTGGTACCCTAAAATAACACTTAAGAAGTGTGGCATTCTCATTAAACAATGTAATATGTGGACAAGACATCTTTTCCTGATGGTGTTTCAACATGCGAATTTGAATCTTTGAATTAAATGAGAAAAATTAATGCACTGTACATTTCCAATGAAACAACACGGTACATTTTTAAACTCCTATCACTCTATCATTATTGGAATCATTCCTATATTTGATTACAGCTATTGAGAGTACAGGGGGAATTCCTGTAGAAAGCATCAAGCACTAAGGATATATACTGTACAAAACCAACAAAAAGGCACTATATGTCATTTATTCACCAGGTTTGTCACCAGGTTTGTCTTGGAAGGGGATAAGATTCATACAGCTGACATTTAGTAACTTACACTAGCAAACTCTTCACCTTGAAAGAATAGGACAAACTTCAACAGATACTGTGTTCAGTAAATAGATTACATTATATGCCTCTAGTCTTAATTGATGTGATATACAGATATTTTAACAGGCTAACAGGCTGAGAATAGTCTGGAACTTACATGCAATGGGGTCTGTTGTTTTTGTCATCCCAGCATGCAGGACAGGAAGCCCGTAGGAAATACCCTCACATTCAGCCAAGGGTGAGAACTGCACTGTGATGTCCAGAGCTGATCAGATTACCTGCAAAGAATAAGAGAGGTGTAGGCATACCAACAAGCACAAAATAGTTTTTGTAGAAATGTCATTTTTTAATTGGAGGGGTATGGGTGTAGGCAGGGAGTTATTTTTAAAATAAACAGACGTCTTGAGTATGAAAATTACACATTATAATGTACCATAGCTCAACAGCCTTTGTAGTGTCTTGTCATACCGAATCATTCCCAGCCATGCTCTGCTGAGGTCTACAACAGCTAAACACATTGGAAGTCAGGAGACCGGAGGACAGCAGTGAAATTAGCCCGATCTGATTCAGGACCAGACAAAACACAAGTTAAGTACCCTGGTCTGTTTTAAAACCCACCCTGCACCTTCCACCCGTGGGTGGGCGCTGATCACAGCTCACAGATTGTTGGGTTAAACACAATCTTCTGTACATAACATGCACTGACTGCGAGCAGAGCTTTGCAAGGGGGAATGTGCAGTCTGCTGTGATATGTTGAAATATATTTTAATATATCTTACTAGTCTTTATATTGCTAGCAGTTCTGGAATTTTTTACCACTATGTTATGCATATGTTTGCTTTCTGAGTTTGGTTATGGGTATATACATTAAGTACTGAGTTTTTGAGTAATGGGTATATATAGTATCTCCACCGGAACACACATCTGCTAAGTGAGTTTTATCATTATGTTTCTTTTCTTTCTTTCTTTAGAAAAGCATGACCTAATTTATAATGTTAGGTATATATATATACTACAGAAGCGCATGGCCACTAAGGGGAAAAACAATTTGCCCCCTTATCTCATGATTACGAGATAGCAAAGCTTACGTCAGTGTATGTACAACCTGTAACGTTGTGCACTGAACGCATGTAGAAGCTACGGTGAACTTGGCTGGCACTTTCAGTTTAATGATCGTGTCCAGCACTGCAGAATTTGTACAGATTTCGACTGGGGTTTAGTCATAATGAAATCTCATTACAAGCATTAAGACCAGTATTGTGGGATTTAGAGTTCAAAGTAATGATGGTTCTGTTATGAACAGTTACAGGTGCAATCACTTCCACTGCTTAAACATGTCTGGACATAGTGATATAGGTATTGTAACGGACACCGCCGACATTACAGGTTGTGCGAGCCAGTTGCCAGCGCGGTGACGTCACCGCCCTTCCCTGTGAATAGCAGGGACCTCAGCCGTTGGGGCTGAGAGGAGATCTCCCTTTAGCTCAGCTGGCCTGTTCCCTGTTGAGTGACGCCGGGGACCCGGGTGAAGGCTTCACAGCCAAAACGTTGTTTCTTTTCTTCTCTTTTCATCATGGAATAAACCTTTAACGTGTTCCTTGCAGCCTACGCATGCTGAAGTACAGTAGCTCCCTACTTGATAAAGGTATTATACAAGAATTGTGCTATCGCGTGAGCACATAAAGTACACGAGAATTACTAAGTCATAATTACGAGATAATTTTCTTGTAATTATGAGATAATTTCCTCGTAATTCTATGATACGTTTCTTGTAATTACAAGATAAGGGTGAGGATTTATTTTTCCTTGGTGGCAGTGATGCGCTTCTGTAAAATACACATACATTTCACAACTTCTAATTCAACACTTTTGACTGTCTTTATACAGTATGTGGCCTCCCATCAAGTGGAATCAAATGCACCTCAACAAAAATGAGCCACAAAACAATCTCTCAACTTGGAATGAATAAAACAATTCTTTATGCTGTCAACAACAAATTCTTTTTAAAAAAATTCAGGCTGTGTTGTTCCTTACACACCTTTCCACCTCCAATATTTTGGATGCTCCAACATGGCATGTTCTCTTGTAAGAGATCAGATGGACAGAAAAGTGTAGCTGCCTTTGCTTGCAATCATCCAAAACAGGGGTTTCTCGTTCAGAAAATGACAGTCTACATAGAGTTCCAGACAAACAATTAAACAAAAACTTCCTTTGCTGGCTATCAGAATAGTTTGGGTTACAAATAGATTTCTAAAAAAGTCATTCGTCCTTCAACCAAAGTTTCCCAACAGATTCTCCACTCAGAGAGACAAATACCGATGAAGCACAACATTGAGGAAGAGGAATTGGGCAAACAAAGAGAACTGAGGCTGAACCATTGACAGCATCTCCAGTTCCAGAATGAAAACTGAGTAGATGAAAAACTTGATTTACTTTGAGAACCTGCAATCGTTAGGTACATCATCAGGAAGATACTTGAAGAGTTTCCATCAAATTGGAGTCCTACAAAGCGGAGAGCTGGACCTGAGCTTCGTTTACTCTTGAGCTCGAGAGCTTACGTCAGCCTTCACTCTGAGAGAAATTAAGGTGCATTTCTTAATAAAATACTTCCTGACATGAAGATGAAAAAGCATCCCACACAGAGTCCATTTGTGAATCACCATATTCCACATGCACAGAGTGTTAAGAATGTCAACCTGCTACGTCAAAAAATGTTTTGGGGAAACCATGCACAAACCGGGTCAGAGATATTTGAAAAGGGTGATGGGGAACACACTGATTAGCTGAATGCAAGCTGGTGTGCCGATGATTTTATAAGCAGTATCATACAGTGATATCAGTCTCTCTGCCATCCAAGGGATTATGTTCCCTAAGGTATTTGTATGTAGTCTAAACTTCACTACTTCTTTCAAATGCTTCAGGTATATCTGAACCTCCTTCGTATGCCATCCAGCCTCTGCAACACCACCTACTGCTGTTAATCCAAAGTTTTTTTTTTGTTTAGTTTTGATTGTCATTATAGTTAACACCTCAAAGCTTCAATGTACTCTGTGGTTTTCCGTGGAGTTTAAGCTCTGACATTCCTCAGAGACAGAAGATACAGTCCCCATTTACTCATGCAAGTTGCTTTCATGAGGTGAGCAAAGCAAATAAGTGGCTTTGACTATTCTTCATAAATGACACCAAGTACTACTCTTCACCACGAAATAATTTACAGGCTGCTTTACACTAACAATATTTCATCTTTACTTCTTATAAGTAGCATTTCACCACATTGAACAGAGCACCCTGGGTTGCCAGAAATGACCAAATAGGATTTGAAAAATGTAAAGTGAATTTAAGGAAGGGATATTAAGAACTTATTGCAAGTGTACGTCAGATCTCTTAATCAGAGATCTGATGATTTTAGTCTTCTCGTTCTACTGAAGACCAGTCTCCACACAGGGAGTGACGCAGCCTTCTGACTCTGCTGAAGCACAGGGTCACACCCTGTGATAGAGCCTGCCTGGGTGCTGCACCATGTCTGTGACCGTGACTGTTTGTGACTGTTGACATTCTTTGTTATATTGGGGTACTCACATATTACACATTGGCTATGTGTGGCACCTTGGGTTTGTAGAAACGAGTGCAAATGTATCATTTTTTACTCTCAGAATTATAAATGTCTGCCATCTGCAGTGCAGACAATCTGACGTCATCTGCGTGTCATCCGAATGTCAACGTTCCATGAATTGCAGAACTTAAAATGTGGATCTGAAGGAGCAGAAGAAAGCTACAGCAGCATCTCATGTAATGATACTCAGCTATTGTGCCTCTAGGACCCTGTGACTTCTGCCGATCAGGTAGCTGCCAGTGCACTGTTGTTCCTTATTTATGCTCGTGTGGGTGGGAATCTGGCTACATCTCAGTCTTGTACCAATCTGAGAGTTAAAGACTTCCGCCCCGGCATATGGCAGGTGAAAAACAACCATATAGGACAAGGAGTTTGTTTTTCATGATATCAAAGTATTAAGCCTCATGTCAAATTGTCATTTAAAAGACATTGTGTTTTTCTTTCAAAAATAAAACGTGGAGTGGTGGTGGCTCACTGCCAGATTGGTAGCTTAATCAAGAGGCTGTCACACTCCGCACCCCTTTACCTGATTGATTTGATAGGATTTTAAAAATCAAACTGGGTCTCATCTGAGGGCAGTTTTCATGGCTATTCTCTGTTGTGCAGGCCACAGAGAACCCCCTCCCCCAAAACCCAAGAGATGAAAACAGGAATCCGCTTCTTACCTCACAGCATGCAATTACAGACACTGTGCTTTACTGTGATGAGTCACTAGAGGAACTACCAAGGTCTCTGAGGCACCGGTCTCTGCACCCAGGGATTTTCCTGAGGTCTGCTTCACAGCCTCTCTGAAAACCGACGCCTCATCCTTTAGGCTATCAGAGAAGAGGTTGGAAAAAGCGTCTCCCCATGCAGAGGTCCCTTCACCATCTTGGTGTGAGGAGCTGCCTGTTTTTACCATGTTCTTCAGAACTCACCCCAGTCTGTATGACACTGCACGGTGTCTGGGGGCTTCAAGAAAGCAATGTCCAGCTTGAGTACTGCCCCTGCTCTTCCACTGTGACATCCATTTTTTTCCTGTCTGTGTTTAGTGGCAAGTCCAGTGGTCATAGTGTATTCAGATTCCTTATAAAGCAGATCTGATTCAATGACATGTGTGAGTTTCCCTTGTACTGTGGAAGAGGGGTGCTATTACAGTGTGTCCTGTTTTAGAGAAATTCTTGTGGCACCATTTTTATTTTATTCATCCTGGACGTAAGGGCCTCTGAGGGTGTTATTTTACATTTTGGTTTAGAAACAAAAGCACCACTTTGTAAACCATGTCTCTGGCTTATTAGAAATAATTTTAAAACTGAACAAAAGTAAACCAGCCTTCATTATGTATGGGAGATGATTAAATGCTCTATTAGGCACTGTTGTATTTTGTTGCTTCAAATCTGACAAAAAAAAAACATAACAAATAGATTTCTCTGATAGAAACTGCAAGTTCTGTAATTGGTAACTGAACACATGAAACTTCCTAGAGAGCAAGGCGAGATACCTGGCCTTTCTGAAAAGCACATTTAAGAACCTCAGTAATGTTAGAGCACAACTACACTGTACTAATAAAAAAGAAAAGGCAGCTCTACCATGAGCATGCTGAGAACCCTAATAATTATTAGAACCCTAATAATTAAGAGAAAAACAAAACAAGCTTCTAGCTTCTACTTGAGGTGACCAAGGATA